TTGAAATTACCTCCATTGTATTTTTGTCAATTGGATCAGTAAATTCAAGTAAAAAAATACAACTTCTTTGGGTTGAAAGAAAGTTTTGCCCCTCGTGATTTCCGTTGACCCTTTTTGCTAGGGTTTCACGAACGAAGATAATAATTTATAGTGTGTACACTTTCAGAGAACTTTCGATTACAATTCTCGTCTCTGGATGAAAAAGAACACTCGCAATGACAATGACGATGGAAGAAACGGAGGTTTTGACTTCAGACAATATAAAGGAGCAGCATATTGGAAAACTTCATTCAAAGAAATTTGTGTCGCGATGAATTATGGAGGTGAACTCAGAGCTCTCTCTTTCTCGTATCCAGCATCGTCCTTGTATCATCTGATCGCTGACGGCAGGTATCGTCAAACTCACGTTGGTCGCTCACAATGGAAACAGCTCATCCAAGGATCATCTTTACAGCGTAATTGCAATAAAGAAGGGTTCAACGTTTTCTCTCGCGGATTCCGTGCAAACGTTCGGTTGGGTATTATTTCAAACAGGAAAAATGACTGCTACAATCCAAACTCTTTTATAGGCCTGGGTGCCAATAAACGAGCCAGGGTTTGTAGGTCCAAAAGACGTTTCAATAACACCGCTGGCAATGTTGCTTCGTGTTCACCAGACAACGGAAACAGGAATTCCAAAGCAATGGGATACATATTGGTCCGTTAACTAAACAAACTTAAGCTCGGATTTTATTAATACCTTTGATCAATGGCAATTAACTAATGTCTTTATTATCGCTAGTACATAAATTTAAAAAGTTGTAACTTCTGATTAGTAGCTATATTACCTTCACAAATATAGAATTTCATCTTGTTATATGAGGATGAAAATGCATGCATCACATGTTTATTTTGATCTTAAAATAAACAACTTTCAGTATCTTATCCTGATCCGAATCTTATCCGAATCTTATTCGAGTCTTATCCGAATCTTATCCGAATCTTATCCGAATCTTATTCGAGTCTTATCCGAATCTTATCCGAATCTTATTCGAGTCTTATCCGAATCTTATTATCCTTATATTAGACCCTTGAAGCCAATGGCAATGTGCGATAACTAACAACGAGACATCGTTATTAGTTATAATTCAGATTTCAGACGCTTTCAATGCACCCCTTGATGAAATACATTATATAACATGCAGGATTGAAACCTTAATTCATTGAACTACATGTACAGACCCATTGCACTGACGTCATAATCATTAAAAGTTGTCGTCCAGGGGACGGTTGTTCAATTAAAGCTGGGTTAGCGCCAACCCTGGCCGGGTTAAATCTTACTCCGCTGTTTTTGTTTATACGCTTCTGCACCGCAGTTTGTTTCAAGACTTTACAAAATAAAACTTCTATTGATCCACAAAATATTTATGAATAAACATGTTCAACTTCATTAACAAGCGGTTTAAAAAATTAATGTGAAATTTCAGTTGACCCTGCATGGGTTAAGCTAACCGGCTTTTGAACAATCGGCCTAAGATGTTTCCGTGCTTTACTATAAAAATAATCGAGCGGTGAAGGTTTATTTATGGCGGTCAAATGCAGTTAAAGAAGCAAAGTTTCTCACACTAGTAAATATTTCTGTATTTTACCAAAAATTTTTGCAAAATCTATGCTACGTTAATTTTACCTCCAGATGCCTAATGTGACGTCATGTGCAAAGGTTTTATTGAAGATGAAACAAAGATCACGTATGGAGGTCAAATTTAAGTGGAGCGATAATAAATGTATATTTCGTCCGTGATCTTTGTGACGTTTTTGGAATTTTAAATTGCATTATGAAATTGAATTTTACCACAACACTTAACACACTAAACCGCAACACCTCAGCACTGCGTTTTTCATACGCACGCACGTACACGCACGAACACACATGTACACGTTCTTATATCTTAGTTTTCCGCCGGCATATATTTTAATATGCATTTTAATATGTTTACCAATGTGTTAAATGATAAAAAGTTGGAAGCATTTACAATTTTCTGTGCGTAAAAAACGCGTAAGTGGCAACTTTTCAAGCCTGCACTTCCGCAATTTATGCCAGAAAAAAAAACACCAAATCATCAACAGAATGCAACCATATGCATCTTTTCAATCGTATATTTTATCAGTTCATTTAATTAAATCACGTTTGTTATGAAATAACTCAAAAACAATACGTCAATGCAATTTATGAGATAATAAACATGTTGCTGCAACACCCTATAAAAGTTGATGTGAAAAGCAAGTTTTGTCATTCGGAGTCAGGCTGAGGAAGACGATTAAGGAAGCTTTATACACAGCACCAGACCGAGATTGACTCAACCATGAGATTTGTGGCAGTAATTGCAGTGTTCTGTCTCATCACAACGCTTCATGCGGTAAGTATAATATGTACAATACTGATATTGTGAGAATTAAAAGATTAAATGAGTTTTGTGGGGATTTAATTTGTTATAATTGTAAAAATAGTATAACAGATCAGTTATTTTAAATTTAGTAAATGCACAATCGGCTCTTCAAAGAGGTTGTTTTTCTTGTGCCTTCTTTTTAGCAGGACATTCTTGGAAAGCAATATCTGAATGAATTAAAACGCAAACAGATTGAAGATGGTCTTAATAGCATCGACAATTGTATTACAAAAATCAGTCATGAGCTTACAAAGTTAAAAAAAGGTAATGGGTGATTGCTAACCATAATTATAGACACGCAGAAAATAGCGCAATCAACGCATATATACAACCTGTAGGATATACCTAATAATATTCTTCTTTCGTTTTAAGATGTTCAAAGGCTGACATGCAAAGGTACAATAACTCAGATTCAACTATGAACCAACCTCAGTTGAGAATTTCGGTAAAACGGGCAAGTTTACGATCGGCAAAACTTGCAAATTTTGCCTCCTGTAATTGCTTGAGTTCAATCTTGTTCAGGCCTAGCTGCATGGGTTTTGAAAGAAACGCCACATGCAATTTGAGATGTGACTACCTTTTGGAAACGCCAATAATGAAATTTCATAAAATGTTTAAACTTTTGGTCTTGATTTCCACACGTTTGGAGAGTAGCTCAGAAAATCGGCGAAGAATTGAAAAATATAAAAAATATACGCCGTTGTATATCATCCATGCACTGAGCAGCCTCGTGCACCTTTAGTTTTCCTTAGCTTTGATTAGAATTACCCTCTCACGGAAACTATAGCCATCGAAAATTTTAAATGAAAAGATTTGGAAATAGTTTAAACGGAAACATCTTAATGTGGGTCAAATTTCAGATCCTTGTTTTAAAGTATTTTTTTAATTATTTATTGCATAATTCCATTTGTTGTTTCCATTTCTAAATGTGTTGCAGAATTTAAATCATGCAAGGAAATATTCGATAATCAAAGGTATGTGTTATGATAATTGGAAATTTGAGAAGCGTCTACCAAAATTGTAGCTATCCTTCGCTTATCATTTTCAAAAATTACTCCATTGCTAAATCAGTAAATTCCTATATTTTGCACTTCATTTTATGTATATAAACGTAGGTTTTGCATTATTGATAATAGTTGAACAGATTCTATCTTTTGTATTGAAGGAATAATACCGCAAGTGGTGTTTACGAAATCAGTGATGGTTCAAATCAAGTGATGAACGTCTACTGTCAGATGTCATCAGTCTCAGGTTGTTCTGGTGGTGGATGGACAATGGTGATGAAAATTGATGGAAACCAGGTAAGAGTTGCCTTGTTTGATGTTTATTTCTAGTGATTATATCCGTACGAGTTTCTTTCAATCTCTTTATATAGAGTACCTTTGGATACAGTTCTAGTCATTGGACCAACAAGACCACTTTTAATGACAATGACTATGGAAGAAACGGAGGTTTTGACAACCGAGAGTTCAAAGAATCAACATATTGGAAAACTTCATTCAATGAGGTTTGTGTCGCGATGAAATATGGAGGTGAACTCAGAGCCCTTTCTTTCTCGCATCCAGCATCGTCCTTGTATCATCTGATCGCTGACGGCATTTATCGTCAAACTCACATTAGTCGCTTCCAATGGAAACAGCTCATCAATGGATCATCTTTACAGCGTAAATGCAACAGAGAGGGATTCAATGTTAACCCCAGACCTGGCCTGAACGTAAGAGTTAGGTTGGGCATTGTTGGAAACGAGCAGAATCATTGTAACTCAGCTGACTCATTCGTGGGTCTGGGAGGTGAAGGCGGTACTTCGTATCTAATGAGATGGTGTGGTTCTTCATTTTCCCTCAACACAGCAGGTAACCTTGCCCAGTGTTCACCAGACAACGGAACCAAAAACCTCAAAGCAATGGGATACATACTGGTTCGTTGAAGGCATCTCCGCACCTCCAACTGTCCTTGTCCTATCCTTATATACTCAATGATTGGACTGATTCAGAAATTGATCTGTAGTGTCGAAGAACTTTAGTACATTGTAATATTAGTAAGAGTAATTTAGTGAAAGCAAATGCCTTTACTTTTTTGATGACAATTAAAAATAGACGTTAGCAATTTCTCTTGTAGTAATTTCTCCAAAACGTTTAACAGTTCTCAACCTTATGCGACACAAAGTTACGTGATTTCGCTTGAACAGTAATAAACTACAAGCGCTTTATATGTGTTTCAAATTACAAAAGATATTCGACCTTTTAAGGCGCCTAAAATTTGACCGTCTACAAGTCAAATTTTAAAGATCAAGTTCAAGTTTCAAGGTTTCTGAATGTTCTCATGCATACCAAGACAGGAAAAATGCATAAACTTATGTCAGGAACTGAAGGAGGACCGTAGCTAGAAGCTTAATTGGGGGGAGGGGAGCATATTCATATATTCGTCTTATGCCCGACTAATTTCTTTTGTACGCTATTGTTCCTGCGGTAGATAAACATGAATATTCATATACACCCCCCAATTAAGCGGTCTAGTTACGGCCCTAACAGACAGATACGATGATTATAGACAAATGTTCGCCACTAATATATATGCACATAAGGATCTAAAACATATCACATGCATGTTCAACGGCTCGATCGATAAGATTCAAAAGGATAAATACCAAAAATATGGAACACTTATGATAACGCCATTCATATATTAGCTACACCTGTTTGTTACACCATCCATACCGGTGGATTTAGCAGCGTACATCAAACCGATCAAGTGATGTATGTAAAATTCCGAAAGCTAAGCCTTGGTTAATTATCATTCAGGATATTATTACTATCACTATCTCAAACTATGCGGTTGGTGCTGGTCAGTGGCGTAACGGACGTAAGGTAGGGTTAGGACAAGAACTAAGGGCCCCCGGCCGTTGGGGGCCCCAGAGGGCCCCCGTTGATTGCCGTCTATCGCTACGATTCTTAAAGAAAAACGGCGTGTCAGTGTATCGCATAAAAAAGTCAGGTTAAAAACAAATTGTTATGCCAAAGATAGGCCTAGGCCCTAGGGTATGAGGTTGATTGCAAAGGAGAATGCAGCAATTATGATGATAGATTAAATCATGAATAGAGTATCCATCGACCATGGCTGAATTTTCTATTCTATTATCCATGTTCTATTACTTCTTCTATAACTAATGAAGTAATAAACTAATGTAGATTTACAAGCTTCAGCTCTCAAATTATTTTTCAAGTGAAAACATGACAAACAGCTAGGACCCCCACACCAAATTACAAATATACCTAAGGGCCCCATCTTCGTCCGTTACGCCACTGGTGCTGGTATAAGTTTGAATCCGTTTGAATATATGGGGGATATTCCGTTTATAGAATTCGGTTTTGTTCTGTCGCATTATGATGCATAGCAAAGTTACCGAACATGATGCAGTGTTACAGCGGTCTTTATGACCGGTTTGCAGGGCTTTCCCCCACGAAATTGAGACTTGTGATTGGTCAAATCTCACGTTGCCATAGAAGCAAACTTTTTTGACCGGGTCTGCGGGCAAATTTTAGGGGGTTTGCCACAGTAGCGGGCATGCAGGCCGGCAATGCGAGACCTTTCGATGATTGGTTACTTACAAATACTTAGAGAGATTTTATTGGTTTATTTCTTTGCCCAGTCATGACGCACATGGCTATATGGCTTTATTATTACCTTGGGTCGGTAGACACAAGGTCATAAATTCGGCTTTGTTTTTTTTTATTTTTATTTTTTGGTGGGGTTCTAGGCAGCAGTCTCCCTCGCGGCCACGGCGCACAAATTACTGCAACTTCTTACTCTCCAATCTTCGAATCGCACGACATTTACGGAGTTTTCCGAAGGTTACGTCATAATCAAAACACCGTTTTACCGTTTTGCTTAACAAAGCTGGCTTGTCTATTGATGCGAAGACAGATGAAATTGAATTTGCCTTAATGGATCTCCAAGAAATTAAACTGAAAATTGATTTACGATCGAAGTTTATTTTGAGTGTAAATTAACACATGAAAATGACAGAATTGTGTGGAAATTATAATATTTAATAATTTAGATTCGTTGATAGATTCGACTTTGCGTGTTAGATAAACCAACTGTTACTCCATACTTAAATAATAATATTTAATCCGTATGAAACGTTAAATTTGCAAGTCACTTCATCATAAAATTTCACAAGCATAATTAGTTGTGTGTTAATTTTGTAAAAATATCTCAATTAGGCAAAGCGTTCTGAATATATAAGCTTCATTACAGGGTAAGGCTACAATCCACAGCATAGCAAATTTTGATTTCTTGTTCGCCGTCGAAGGACCAATGTTTTCCATTTGATTTTTTTCTTGTGGTTCGCCCTCGTCGTTACTCCTTATTTTGGCCAACACATGGGGAGCTAATATATGCGAGTGGGTTTTGTGTAATAGAAACCTTTCACTAATCCTGTCTATTTAGACAGGTTTCGATATTTTAATACTCTACATTCAAATACTTAGCTATTCACCATTGGATTATAGCTTCGCAAGCACAATTGCATGCTTCAATTCATTATGTCGGTTGTAGAAGAAAAGCCAAAGGCATTTGATGGTCAGGGACCCTGATTCGTAAACAATTACATTGGAATGGTCAATTTTCATATGTGGCAGAATGAATCATGCAGTCACTGAGCTTTAGCATTGCAAATAGTTTAATAGTCTTTTAAACCATGGTTTATACCACACTAAAGTTTCCAAACAAACCCTATATTCACCGACCCAAGGTAAACGCCGAGCCAGCGTCTTGTCTTATCACAGCTGAAGCCTGAACTAGATTTCTTTCTCCACGAATGCGTTTATTGACTCTACCTGTGTGCAATATTACTTAAAAGTTAAAATACATGTCCAAAATGGAAAAGAACGTTTTCTCAAAAGCAAAAACAGCTCTTCAAGAGAATAATTTGACAGTTTTGTCGAAAACTGCGTCGAAATTTCGAAGCGGAAATCTACATTCCCAGCAGATTGAAGACTAAAAAAAGGCCGGAAATGTCAAGTTTATTTATTAACGCTGGATCTAAAAGTGGTTAATGTGCGAGTGTATGTTTATAAACATTATATTTATATGAAACGAACAATTTGCATATGCTTTGTGTGAGTGCGCCAGTGCGGGTTCTTATAAGGCCAAAACTTCATTCGGGCATTTGCATATAAAGTGCATAATAACATGAGTAATTATTGTGTTTATAACTAATAAAGCTATCGATTTGCTATCAAATTATCGGTCTAAATAAATAATTAAATACAACTCGGTGTCCTTTCGAAATTTTTTTTGATGGGGGTTGTTCGTCAACCTCGCAAGCAAGGCTTTTCAAATCCGCCCCTGCGTGCGTGCGTGCGCAGTGTACAAAAACGTGACAGCATGGAAAGCTGCTCTTAGAGTACACTCGAACTATATAAAACAAAACACGACATAACAGCTGCAGTGCTGCACGAGTATGCGTTGAATTGTTAAGGTTAGCAAAACATATAAATTTGCCGTTTAAACCCACTTCATAGGAAGGAAGATGCAATGAAAAATTTGTTAGCTGAATTGTATGTAAGACACGGTAAAAGGCTGGTACACTTATATCACAGGTATTACTAAAAATAAGAAAAAAAAATTAAGACGAAATTTTTTATTATGTCGCGTATTTTGGCGGGAAAACGCTTAAAACCTAAAATCTTTTCAGCGTACCGCTCAAAATTAATTTATTTTACCTTTAATCTTTAGATTATGTTGTGAACTAAGTTTTGAACTAAATTTAGTGAATGCAAAACACCAAACAAAGGAGTTATTACAAAATATAATGCTTTTAAATATAACCTGATATAACTATCCCAGGATAGTGTCACAAATAGTAGCGACTTTATGCCACTAAATCTTTACAAAGTATAGACATGACCAGATGTAGATGGTACACATGCAGTCATCTTCCTATAGGATGAAGGGGAAACGAAACCGAATGAAACCAATTATATTTGGTAACTGTAAAGCAGTTTTACAAACAGTTATAATGTTTTACTTCGCTGCAAAAGTCGTTTTTGGTGAAGAAGAGACGGAGTTTTGTAAAAGAGGTTGGTCTGAATTTGTTCAAGACAGAAAACAATGGGAAAGAGAATGTCTGAATGATGATGTTATTAAAAGATCACCTTGTTGTGAAGAGACAGCTGACTATTTTGAGAAAAGATATGAAGAATACATTAAACTGTGTCCTATCGAGCAGGGTAAGGTTTTTATCACTGTTTGTGTTTAGTAAAGCGGCGCTAACCAAATTATTTTGGAACATATATTTAATATATAGTGTGGCCGGTTAATTCATTCCCGCTGTCAGCTGAACTCTCTCTCTATATCGATCACGTGATTGTACTGAATATGGTTACGTTAATTTTATGGGAAATGATTCGAGATATGCCTTCAAAATTTCTGAAATGCAAGGGAAACAAATTAAAGAAGCCATGTTTAAAACGCGTAACTGATATTTTGTATACATATAAATTAACATGCATGGACAACGTTTTGATACCGTTCGTGTCAAACAGAATTTCATAACAGATAGACTTTCAGTTTAGGACCTATATGATAGTGTTGATGAAAGCTACATACACTATCACTGTGATTATGTATATTATAATTATATTATATTATATATATATAATATATATATATATATATATATATATATATATATATATTATATATATTTATGCATGGAATTTCTATAATATCACAACATATGCAATTCTAATTAGATCTCGAGTATCTATCTATGTATCTATCTGCGGCCAACGTTTTTGCAAATGGGTGTATATATATATATATATATATATATAATATTATATATTATATATATATATATATATATGTATATATATATATATATATATATATATATAATATATATAATTATAATATATAATATATATAATTATATATATATAGATGATAACTGTTGTGATAGAAACTATCGTGGTGACAGAAACTAACGCATACAAAATCGTCCGGACAGAGTGCTCAATGCTTGCGCAGAGCGATATAACACAGGATGAGAAACAGGGGTAACTCGAGTTTCTCATCCTGTGTTATATATTCATTATATATTATATGTCCAGAAAACTATCATTTTATCAAAATATCTCAAAACTGAATATATTTATGTCAAAGAATTTTAGCCTCTTCTGGCTTATTTAACAGTAAATATATTGTTTGAGATATATTGAGTATATATAAGATGATTGACGTAATTCGCGCATGGACAACCAGCTGATCTGGGTATAAAAATCAACCAATCAGAAGCCAGACCTTCGACAAAACTGAATTATTATTTCCTTCATTGCATGTGACTTCGACACTCGAAAATATCAAGTAATTCTATTATATTTAAGCGAAAACATGCCTATTTTTCCCAACTGTAAATTAGATTTTAAATTTTTAGCTCTTTATACTATTAGTTAGAAAAATAAGGACAAATAACAACAGGCGTATGATAACTCAGTTTTGCCGAGAAGCCTTATGACGTCATGATCTCAGATCAGCTGGAAAATGCGTAATATTATAGCGCGTAATATTAAGTGTACATGTGTTCGCTTACTACATTCTGTTCTTGAAAAGGTGGGTATAGAATGTACATTTTGAACAGGGAAATAAAAAAGATTAAAATTATATATTTTTTTTTCCTTGCGGTCCGAATTCATATTTTAGCGTTTTCTGCAATTTGATTGGCTACGCGAGCGGTCCGTATGACTGTATGAGGCCGCACGGAGCGCGCGAGATTTCGATTAAAAGCACAGAGCCAACGCTAAAATGTGAATTCGGACCGCAAGAAAAAAATTCATTATTTACCAGTTTAGTCGGTCCGTAAAAAGGAAATCATTTCCCCCGCTGTTTTTGAGACCGTACTTTCCCAATACGGACCTCCAATCAGAGACAAAACCTATACATACAGAACTTATGACTGCAAATTGCCGCTAATTATTATTAATCGTGTTGATTTGTGTACAGTTTAAAAGTCGATCCTTTTTCTTTTATTTGAAGGCAAATGCATTTGTCATTTTAAAGAGCAAAATATAGACCGCATTGCCTACCGAAATATGTCAGAGCCAGTGTCTTGGACGAAACCAACAATTAACTGCTCGCATAAGTTCTACATTAATTATTATGAAGTTGAACCAAACGTAAAGTCACCGCACAGTTTTCCTGTTGGTTTAAACAAAATTAAGCACAACTTTAACCTGTATGGAAGAATGAAGGTGCTATGTATTTTTATGGTCCATGTTCGCTTCTGTAAAGGCAGTGGTAAGTATTTTTCTAACTAGAAAGACATGCATTCAGTAACTCCTCGCCCATTTCAATAAAACAAACCAATTTTCTGAGCTTGCCAAATCTAAGCTTATATTATGACAAAGGCCCTGAATTAATTAAAAGAGATCTTGCGTCATGACTGATATAAGAAAAAAATTGTTTTTACATGTTTCTAAACTTTTTATTGCTTTGTAAAAGGAAAATACCTCATTCATAAATCCGTCAGTGGGGGGGGGGGGCTGAATGACGGCTGGGAAGGCGTCCCCCGTTATATAGTTAATTCTAGTCATAAAACAAAAGTAAACATCAACAGCATTTTTCAGCTGCATTAAGAAGGACATAGGAAGTTTAATACAATTTATGTACTTTTAGAGCTTAAATAACGGCTAAAAATTTAGTTACGTAAAACAGTAGTCTTCAGGGAATAAACTTCTTCAAAAGAAACAAGGGTTTCTTCGAATATGCTTGCAGCGAATATTTCCAGTCGACCATACATTAACTTTAATTTGGATAGCTTTAAATTCCGCTATGTTCTGTCAAAATACCCGGGTGTATTTTTTCTGAGTTAACTGGGATTTAACAAATGAATGCAAAATGTAGTTAAAGAGTTTTATACAACCGTCCTCTGATGAACAAGTTCTATATAATAAATATTTAGAATCAGACCAAGAAGAGACGGTACAGGATGATGTTAACACAAGAGGTAAAACTACACAATCATTACTTTTCAATAAATATGTGTTCACATGTTCTTCATATAATAAAGCGTGTACAATTGCTCTGAATGGAGTGCCGATCTCGTATCTCATTCACTATTCTTTTTGCAATGCTCACACGCGCAAACTAATAGGTAAATTAGCTTGTAGGTACACCACGTGAGTATTTAATACTTCAGTAAAAAGCAAAAATAAAAAATAATCTGCCTTTTGAGTAATTACGCAGATATTTTCAAGAAACAAGTGATTTACGCGTGTATTCAAAAAGCTCATCCACCGACTCATTGAGTGTGACATAGAAATTTTGTTATTACTTATCTTAATTAATTTGAAAAGTTTAAGGTAAAACACTATAAAAATCAAGCTCTTATTCGACTGAAATTACCGTCATGGAAACGTTATGAGAAGATTGAAATCTACATAAATCTGGCTTCCGATAATTATTCTGGTTTCAAACTCGGATCAGGTAACTGACCAAGACTGTTTCTGTCTGATCGTCTTTCGTATGTAGTTTCAGATTGCAAAAAGAATATCCTTGTTCTTTGGGATAGCTCCAATCCTGTTAGCTCCAAGCACTACCACACAGCTAAAAAATTCCTCAAGAAGTTTATCAAAAATGAAAAGCTGCGCGTGGAGGAACAAGGCACTCATCTTGGTTTTATCACCCTTTCAAACCGAACTGGAAAATTTTTGAAAGTCGGGGAAATTAAGAACAAAACAGAGTTGATACAGTGGCTGGATAGTTTTGAGCATAAAAATGATGTGAATGGTGATGCGACCTTCGTAAAAAAAGCACTTCATCTTGCAAAACAACGTAAGTTGATCGTTTTGACAGAGTTGACAAAAGTGGTGTAGGAATTAATTGGGATGCACATGCAACCAGGGATTAGACAGCTAAAATAATATGAACACAACATTGTCCAATCCTGTCCATATTAATATTGCCACAACCTGGTCGTTTTTTCGCCTGTAGACTAGTCAGGTTTTCCCAGGGATTTAAGAGTACAAGTGGGGGACTCGATCGTTTGACGTTATAATTGATGAAAGTTTGTTTGTCCTTAAAACTGTAGATTAATTTATAATGCAATTGAAAAAATCAACTTTTTTAAAGGTGATCATAACAAGACCAGTCCCAAAAACTTCCGTCCTGATGTAGACGACGTTATTTTGTGGTTAATCGATGGAGAACACAAGTATAATGCGTCAGAATATGAAACAAAGTTCTTAGATGAATATATCAGGATACTCAAAAATAAAAACATCACCATTGTTTTCTTGATTACTGGAAATGAAGACGAAATCAAAAGTATGAGACCATATGTTGAGCGTTTGGCGTCACCAGGGCTTATATTTGAATCAAAGTTGGATGAGCTGGACAAAGTTGTGAATAAAATAGTCGATGCTTCGTGCGCGTCGCCTGGTAGGTGTAATTAGTTTGGGATAAAAATCAATAAAGATCAGTTTAATGAAATAACATTTTGTAGAAGAGCAAAGGGAGTCCTTTTCCTCCCTGCTGTTCGGATAAACGAGACATTATAATGAAATGACGAGTTAATACTATAAACCAACTTGCTCAAAATTGTATATTCACTTTTACTATCAAAGTTTACTGAAACTTTCTGTTTCCCCAGGAAAATGTGAATGTAAAGATGGCCGCACTAGTGAATTTACCACATATGCCAAACCCAATGGATTCGAAGGGTTGGTTTATTGGACAGTCCCAGACGTTACGTGCTCTGATTATGAAAGAGGACAGGTTGATCCACCTGGTGTCAGCTCTTCAGGAAATTTCTCGCTGGGCAAGCACGTGATTACTTATCTTTACTCGTACAAACGCAACGGCAAGATTGTTGAATTCAAATGTTTTGTAAAATTGAATGTCGTCCGTAAGTGATTGAGCCACCTCACATTAATTAAAATAAATGTTTTATGCATGTTAGTATCTAACAAAAATATTGTCTTACTTAATTACTTTATATATATATATATATATATATATATATATATATATATATATATATATATATATATATACATACATATATACGTCGTAATGTATATGTATAACATATGTAGTAATAGGGACAATTATAGCCCATTTTTATTCAGTATTGCGAGGGCAGAGAAAAGGGCCCATTGTCCGTGGTATCAAAAATGCCCTGATGAGAGGTAGTTGTTTTGATGTTGAATTTTAAATTTTTGTTAATTTGAATATCGTCCGTAAGTGATTGGTTGTGCAGCTCTAATTCATAAATTCGTGCGAAATTTTTATTAATATTATAAATTGCACATTGGGGGGATATAAATGACATCCCTCAATAGTTGGCAGTTTTAAAAAGTTGCTAAAAACGGGACGAGGGTTATAAGTTCAGGACGTTCAAATGACGAAGATGAGTTGCTTATCACAATAATTTTGACTATATTTCCCCCACTTAGGCTGTCAGTGTCCATGCCCGCGAACAATTTACTCACAATTGTATTGCGGGTCCGACAGAAACTTCAGTTAGTTGGTCAGAACCTAAACCCAGTCAGTGCCCAACGACACCAAGTTTATCTAATCCGAATTCAACCAGTGGATGGTTCTCTGTCGGTAATCACACGCGTTCCTACAACTATACGTACAGCGGCAAAAATCAAACATTTGGCATCCAATGTCATGTAAGAATTGTTGTCGAAGGTATGCATGTTTATCCCCGAGCCGGTGCTGAGCACCGTTCGAGGTACTAATTCCGCCCGGAAATTAGGAATTACACCCGGGACCCGGGAGAACATAGCGGAATCCGAAGTCGCCTAAATTTGGACCATGGACGTTCAATGGTCATGGTACTTGTGCGCATGCGCGAAATGCGAACGAGTGTAGACTGGTAATCAGCAACTTCCTGATTGGCTAAGACGAAAAGTTTGTGTTTCAGTGAAAAACGTCAACAATTTTAACTGGCATTTTGCAAACTATTTTTTTAAAAAATGTTTCGAAAACACAATATGAAATGTGGAATCAAATAACAGATAAAACACTGGGAAGAGTTTAAAATATTATCAAAACTGGTTCTTGAAGAATTACAATCACGCACACAAAAAATCCTTTAGATTTTCATTTGTTTTATACGCACTACATGGTTAGCGAATGTCCAACATGCAATTGCCAAATCCCTCACAATTTTTTTTTTATTATATTGTAAAAGAAATAGAAAACAATACGGGTGGAAATTCAGATCCTTGTCTTAAAATACTTTTTCTAATCATGGTTAATTCACTTGTTGTTTCCATTTCCAAATTGCAGAATTTCAATCATGCAAGGAAATACTGAAGAGTCACAGGTATGAGTTACGATAATTGGAAATTTGAGAAGCGTCTATATTGAAGGTAACAGCTATCCTTCGCTTATCATTATCAAAAACTAGCAACCTCATTGCGAAATGTAAATTTGTACATATTTTCTATGCAGTTTTATAAGCTTAGGTTTCGCATATTAATAGTTGAACAGATTCTTTTGTATTGAAGCAGCAAAGCTGCAAGTGGTGTTTATCAAATCAGTGTTGGTTCAAATCAAGTGATGAACGTCTACTGTCAGATGTCGTCAGTCTCAGGTTGTTTTGGTGGTGGGTGGACGATGGTGATGAAAATTGATGGAAGCCAGGTAAAAGTTATCCTGTTTGTCGTGTACACTTGCATTCCAAGTGATTATATCGCACCATTTCGTACGAGATTCTTTCAATCCTTTACAGAGTACTTTCAGATACAGTTCCAGTTATTGGACGAACAAGAACACTTTCAATGACAATGACGATGGAAAAAACGGAGGTTTTGACAACCTAGAATTCAAAGGATCAACATTTTGGAAAACTTCATTCGATGAAATTTGTGTCGCGATGAAATATGGTGGTCGACTCAGAGCCTTCTCTTTCTCACATCCAGCATCGTCCTTGTATGATCTGATCGCTGACGGCAATTATCGTCAAACTCAAGTTGGCCGCTCTCAATGGAAACAGCTCATCCAAGGATCATCTTTACAGCGTAATTGCAACAGAGAGGGATTTAATGTTAACCTCAGACCTGACCACCACGCAAGAATTAGGTTGGGCATCGTTGGAAACGAGCAGAATGATTGTAAGACACCTGACTCATTCGTGGGTCTGGGGGGTGAAGGCGGTACTTCGTATGGAATAAGCTGGTGTGGTTCTTCACTTTCCCTCAACACAGCAGGTAACCTTGCCCAATGTACACCAGACAACGGAACCAAAAACCTCAAAGCAATGGGATACATACTTGTTCGTTGAAGGCATCCCCGCACCTCCAACTGTCATTGTCCTACTTATATATACTCAATGATTGGGCTGATTCAGAAATTGATCTGTAGTGTTGAAGAACTTTAGTACATTGTAATATTAGTAATAGTAATTTAGTGAAAGCAAATGCCTTTTTTGATGACAATTAAAAATATACGCTAGCAATTTCTCTTGTAGTAATTTCTCCAAAACGTTTAACAGTTCTCAACCTTATTCGACACAAATTTACGTGAATTCGCTTGAACTGTAATAAACTACAAGCGCTTTATTTGTTTTTTTTCAAATTACAAGATATTCGATATCTTTTAAAGGCGCCTAAAATTTGACTGTCTACAAGTCAAATTTTAAAGTTAAAAGGGTTCTGAATGTTCTTATACCTACGCAGAAAAACGGCATAATCTTCGCTTCGCTGTTTTTCATGAAAAAGGCCGCGCTAGTAATAGAGAAATTGCATAGCTCTAATTTGAACTTGCGAATACCAAACATTAGAAAAAAATCATACGCACATATAAGGATCCGGCTAAAACATATCACATATTCGACGGCTTAATTAAACAGTAAACGAAACAGCCCCTCACTGTTTTAAGTCATGAATGCATGCATACTTAGCTAATGGCATTCTCGCGTGGGTTATGAAATAGCCCAGAAAATATCTCAATTTGTGGATACTAAGGGTGATATATCCTACAACTTGCATTAGTGTACTATAAAAAGTCTATAATACACAAACAGATACTCTTATACTGCCCGAAATCAGTGACGAATGCTGTGCCTTCAGTGAAATCATAATACCCGCGCAGGTTGAAAAATAGACGATGTGCAGGTCGTAGACGCGATGTGCAAAAATCAAAATGACATACACAAACAGAATAAGCTCGTTTCAATAAAGCAATTTCACATGCAGAACAAGTCACTGACATATCAAAGGCGTTGACGCACAAACACGTGCAATAATCATCACGCTATTCACGCTGATGTGAATTAATTAGCGTGAGATCTTTGATGGATGTTCAAAAAAAGAATTACGTGTGTTTAAATAAAGGCATTCATACCGGCAACTATTTACATATTTGCGTTTATCAAAAAACTAAATTCGCAGCAAAAGTCGGGAAAAAAAACGATCCTCCGCTGTCCACTGGTGAAGTTTAATAAATACTCGAACAAATATTCATACGTTTATTATTTCCATGTATATTATAATGTTGTTATATTCTAAAATTATTTATTGGCAAACTGTACACTTGAACATTTCATTTATACATAAATACAGACTTATACAGTACATAAACATGTGATTATATTGATTATTGTTGATGGCTAAAAGCCCAGATGGACAGATCGATGGTAATTATTCCCCATGCATGAATCGACAGCTTTTAAAAACGCTGTCGCGTAACTTCGCCTTTCTGCAAGTTACGCTGCTGCTGACACCAGATTCAACGAATACCACAACTCGGGGACTGTATTCTTAACTTTTATTAACACTCTATGTACAGGTATATTTGGTAAACACTATATAGTGCACGTCGATGACACAATACTCTTAAGACAACACGCTTAAGAAGGACACACTCGCTCTGACGTTACGGTGACAACACACCACACAATACAACTCTCCTAACACACTAACTTAAAGTTTACAATTCTACTTATATTTATACTAAAGCTATAGGGGATGTTATTCCATTTTCACATCAACTTCCTTTGCGCAATTTATGCACGTCCCATGATGTTTTTCCCGCAACGCGTGCGGTTAACTCTCTAACCACACTGCCCCTATTCTTCCATCCGTTTGCGTTAGCGTGTGGGACAGGCGGTTTTCCTTCTTCGTGGTTGGACGTGCGTTTGTTTGCGCGCATTATTTCCCCTGTTTACAAGCTTACTCTATTTCCACATAAATGAATATATAAAATTATATGAATATAAAATACACACACAACAGCTGTACAGACAACCACGACATTTGACACATTTTCACGACAAACGCCATCAAACGCGTCGACGTTTCTATATGGGAAAATATACATTTAAAAAAATACTGAACAAAATTCTTCCAACCTCCAGGAAACCGCCTCAGTGCAATGGTATCCCGTGCTAATGACAAAGGAATACTGAAAACCATTTACAAAATGCAAAAAAAACGCAACCGTCGAAATTTCATAACAAGTTCACTTAGGGCTGCTTTCCACTGTTAATTTGAGTAGGATGCCTTGGGATGCATTTACAACGGTTTAACGAAAAATTTTAAGGGACCAATTTTTTTGACAAGCGTTATAATGAAAGTACATATATACTAACCTGGCTGAATATACTCTGCATATATACTTTAATCTGCATCAGACTCAGACACTGAACGACGGTTTATCACAGGAAAAAGCTCTTCCAAGACTGGGAGTCTTTTCCAGCTGGGGTTCTCTCTGATTATCTGATATAGAACAAAAGGCAGGTGAGGAAACAAGTGGAAAAAATACTCCTCGATCGAAGAAGTACCCTCTTTCTTATTTTTCAATCGACGTAGTTTGTCGCCTCGGTGCTGAATTGCGTTTCGTATAAGTCGAACGCAATGTGTGTATCGAAGGCCATTATAATCTGTTGGGGTTTTTTACCTCCGCTACATAACATCCGAAGGTCATCAGGACCAATTTCGTCTTTCCAATTATTTGGTAGCAACCAACATCGAGGTTTGGATCGTTTAGGGCTGTCCAGCTGTTTGGAGACAGCATTGCCGTTCTTCATCTTGCTTTCATTCCCCAGGGCTTCAACAAATCTCATTTGCTCATCGAGAGAGAGGAAGTAAGGGTGCTTCAAGGCTTGCTCAACATATGGCCGTTCTTCCATCTTTTGAGTCAACATCTGAAAGAGCAAGTCTTTCACCACAGGATCTTTGAGGTCTGCTAATCCAACTTTTTTATCCTCGTATAAACATTGCATTTGCTTTATGGGCGGACCAAACGGATGTTCCCCTTTTGTTAGGATGTAAAATAATAACATGCCTGCCACTTGGATATCTGATTGCTCTTTCCATTTGAGTTGAATTGGTTCATCCAAATGGCTCGGCATCTTGTTTGAAAACAACTTTTCCCAATCAATACATTCGTATGCGACCCAGCCGTGCGATCCACTTTCGCTAGAAGTATTGTATGTTGTTGCACCTGTAAAATGTAAATAAAGTTGACCTACATTTGAGCAACAATCCCCCAACTTTGACAGTTTTAGATGAAACATTACTTGTCTTGCTAAAAGTGATGATTTTGTTATCACTTTACAGTCGATTTTCACTGATCTCATAATACACTGGGTGATAATGCATTATAGCGGTTTGCATCGGATCGGATTGGCGTCTTTGAATCAGAGGGTATATCGAATTTCAAAATCCGAATCCGATCTGATCCGAACTGCAAAAAATTTCAAAATCTAATCCGATCCAAGCTGAACATAATATTGAATTCGGGGATTCCCCATGAATAAATATTTCAATTTGTTTTTTCTTTTGTATTTTGTTTATTATATAAAAGAGATAACGTTCAGTTGTTGTCTCTTCAGTAATAGTTTAAGATTTATCAAATCCAAAACTCGGGGGTGATGAGAAACTATCGCTATCCAACCATTTCACCACAGAGTCAGATATAAAAAGTGATAGTCCCTAGTCCGTGAACTAAAAAGTCAAGGACGTATCTAACAGCGACAGTCACGTTCGCGTCAGAACGTTCTAGAACAAAAATTGAACAACAAAAATTTAATAAAAATACCTTCTTCTGGGAAGAATCGTCCTATACCAAAATCCGACAACAGTAAATTGCCTCTCAGGTCGACTAGAATATTAGTTGGCTTTAAGTCCCGGTGAAGAATTCTAGGTTCTCTGGAGTGCAATGCTCGCAGGCCTTCAAGCACTTGGCGTATCATCTCTCGAGCACACGATTCTGTTATGTTTTTACCTTCAAACCTGACAAATTCTTCAAGATTTTGTTCATATAAGTTCAAAATCAAGAAACCGAAATCGCGGCTAGATGTGTCATCGTAGAAACAGTAGTTCACGATCCGTGGCGACTCGACTGCATTTGGAGAATTCAAGATATCTCGTTCATTTTTTAAGAATTTCTTGCACAGCTGTTTCGGCAAACGTTTTATCGCTCGTTCTATTCCGTCTAAGCCCAAACAAATATACACCTCCGTGCCATAACTGCCGCGGCCTATCATATACTCTTCCTCAAAACACACGCCGTTGTCATTTACCATGGTTATCAGTTCCGGGCTAGTGTCCCACACTTTTAAAAGTCGTTCAAATTTTTTCTTGTGTTTCACCGAGACTTTTTTCCAGTCCGCTCTGGGACTTGATGTGGTCCTTTCAGTTTTCGCTTCAAGTTTAACGGCTTCGTGTTTGTTGGAACCAGTTGTGATGCTCGATTGTTTCTTTTTCTTCCGTGGCATCGTTAAATTTTAAGGCAGGTATGATCGTGAAGTATAAGTGTTATGGAATTATCGAGAACTGTAGGCGATGTTTGAAAATCGAATCGTGGATTGTTGTAGCTTATTCATTTTTATGGGATTTCCCCTCTTACGGTTGAGTAGTTTATTTTGAAGCTGTTCCTCTGAATCATTCCTTAAAATTTGGAAAAATTTCTTTTACTGAAAGTTCACGGATAACTTCCTGTTCCATTGGCCAATCGAGATGCTTAGAAATAAACGATATACAATTTGATTGGTCAATGAAGCCGGAAGTAATGAACTTCAAAAGGAATTTTTTATATGATGTTTATAGGAACATACAGATGTGTATACATTTATCCGTAAGCTAATTAATGCTAGCTAAAAAAGAAATTTAAGGGCGTGATAGCACAAATACGAGAAATCGTGAAGACACACATGATATAACAAGACTTATTAAAAGAGAGCAAAGAATTAAAGACTGGTTTCCATTTGTCATAATAATAACGACAAATTATGACGAATGAGGGCATTTGAGAACCCTTAAATCATAGGCACGAAAAGCCTGACGGGATAACCACTGGAATCAAAGCAATATCAATATGGCTGATTTTGAATTTCAAGTACTATACGATCAATTTTGATTTAGCTACATTGTATATGAATTAAAGATGATATACCTTTCTCTTTCAACAAATACAATTCGCGCAGGTTCCCATATTGGGTTGGAAAGAAAGATGTTGATAGACTCAAAGCTCATTTTCTGGCATCAGGCAGCATCGCCGTTCTGTTCGTCACCAAACTATTCTGTCTGTCACTTGCAATCAAAACAACAAGCACATCCTATACATAGAAAGTCCGTGGAGCGTAAAGCTGCAATTCATGAGGCATTTCAGTCAACATGCATGCATCAGATCGCATGTAAAGTTTGCAAAGTTCAATAATTATGATCTTCCTAAAGTAACATTCACATCTTCTATTGATGCGCCATGCCATTGCCCAGTTAGATCGCACAAGGATATAGAGCATCCTGAAGTGAAACTGGAGGCTGTTTTATTTTTTCCCGCCCTCGAATATTTTCTAAATCGGAATGTACACGTCGTGCATACGCCATCACACTTGCTGGACTGATGGCAGCCTGTGGATGTCGTATCATTGTTTCCGCCGTTCTATCAGTAACTTGTTGAATAATGGATATGAATTTATTAAATCAATAAATTTATTCTCAAATTAATTTCCATCTCCGCAAAATAACAAGACATTTGTGAAAGATCACAAGAGGCTTTGAAAATGTATCGGCTGTCACATATCCAATAAAATTGCTTGCACGCACCCAGCTAGTTCTTGGAACGAAGGAAATAATTAGCGTGTAATTGCTGCCTAGAAGATACTTAATGACTAAAATGACAGCACTTGGTATGCAGCACGTGGGAAGTGAGTTGAAGGGTTTGTGAGAGTTTGGCCACAAATATTTCTTGTTTGAATTTCTTTCATACTATGTATAATGTGAAGTTTTTATGCGAAGAGGAACGTTTGAATTAATATTAATCTGAATTATGAGCTGAATTAATCAGTCGTACAAATATGAACAAGAGATGGAGTATTTGCTTCAAACATAAGTCCTCAGATTGCAAACAGATGTTTAATCTATGGTACTCGTATTCATACAATTTATTCATTACCTGAATGTGACCACTACACTTTAATTTGACGTGCTTCTTTTTTTTTCTAAACACGACCTTAGCATAAGAGTTGAACGTCAACTGGACATAACCCTTGTTATATAACCGCTATTGATTAAAAATATTTAAATTGCGGGAAATGACGTGAGTGAGAGGGTCCGATTTGTTCCCAAAAGCATGCAAAGTTGCACGACCTCACCTCAAAGAATTTACTATAAACAATATTCAGACGATTTGAACATTAGGTATTTACGATATATCACTTGTCTGAGTCGCAAATCTCTTCTATAACTGAGACAGTTTTTAGGAAAAGCAAGCGAGTTTCTCAGTTTACTGACTACACGCGATGTTGGCGATTGTTTTTGGAGTCATTTGATGATATATGGGCGAAATAGGTCTTCGATGAAGGCGTTGATTCACGGTTGACATTGCAATCACGAACTACAGGGAGCTAAGAAGCTCACGAAATACATACACACTCTCACAGCGACAATTCCTAATCATTAACACTCCTTTTATAGGTTTTAACCATTATAAATCGTTCGTTCCCAGGGCTATCCGAAGAGAATACATCAGCTTTCTATATTTAAAGCGCTTTCATCACAGTAAACAAACAATATAACCTCAGATCTTTCATCGTAGACTATTAGTAGCTAATTATCTCCGTAACCTAGCAGTTAACGCCAGCTGCCAAAAACATGCGCTGTAACACTCGTTCGATATCGGTATATGTAATTATCGCTATGCCCGACTCTGTTCGATTCTGGGAAGTCAGGATATTGTGATATTTTAATGGTTTACTGGGAATAACTCAAGTTGCGTGGGCAAGGTTTGTAAATGAAATTTTAAAAAATAAACTTTTATTTCACAAATTCACAAATGATTTGAATGTACCAAAAATATACAGAGACCTTTTAGTCTGTCTGAAACTACCAACTGCCATCAAATTTTTGCCGTATGCTAAATGATATTTTCATCATTTTGAAGGATAGGATACCTGTAAATTTTCCCGCAAGGCGGTTCGTGGAAAATTGCAAAAGTTCAAGGCCAAAGGCAGATAAGTGGGCGATGTTTTTATCTGCAATTATTTATTTCTAGATTGAATCAACATTATAGTATTATATCATGAAATTGATGTGTTGTCATTGACGACATGTGACGATGTGAATTGATATTTGCGTGACCCCTTTGTCACTGAGCTTTTGAATAATTTTTTTAATTGTTCGACCAGTTTTTAATGTATCGAATTTCACCCAAAAATGCAAGTTGCTGTATGACCTGTATAAATGGAGATCTGGGCAACTATGCAGATTAAGATGAGAATGAACCTGGTGTATATTAAAAAAAGAACATTCGATTATATGACTTGGAACACCTCTGCATGATCTAACCATGCTTAGCTCAGTCAACTGAGACTGAGAGGGAACACAGGAGAGACTTAACTCTACTCACATGAGTTCTGTACAACATCAGACCACTTTAAGGTAGCTCTCATTCAAGAACATGTACCACCTCTGCATGATCTAACCATGCTTAACTCAGTCAACTGAGAGAGAACACAGGAGAGACTTAACTCTACTCACATGAGTTCTGTACAACATCAGACCACTTTAAGGTAGCTCTCATTCAAGAACATGTACCACCTCTGCATGATCTAACCATGCTTAACTCAGTCAACTGAGAGAAAACGCAGGAGAGACCTAATTTTACTCAAACTGTTCATGCAAAATATCCCACCACTTTACTGATGCACATTTATCATGCACTTGGGGATGTTAGTTCGTATTGGTTATATATTATTATCGTAAGATATGAATTGACCCATAATTCAGACCGGAATAAGCAAAATATCTGAAGCGGTTCATGAGAAAATCTAAGACGGGGGGGAAGAGGTCGAACAATACAATATACGTCATCAAACAATGACGTGCTATATGTTTTAGTCCACAATGTACACAGCGGGTCGTAGGATTTTTTTAGCTATTTAAAAAATGTTTGAATACACAAACATTCAAGGGGAAATGGGAACTGTTTAGCAAAGATTTGATTATCTGCCAAATATACGCTTAGAATGGCAGATCTAGTAATATATCTGCCTTGGTTTCAAATTCGAAATAAACACTTGGAATTTTCGAGCAAAAATATAAAAATACATTGTGCAAAAATATAATAGGTTACCTTTAACGAAGCTTCGCTCTGTGATTCAAAATTTCAAATGCAACCGCCAACGCTTATAGAAATGTAGATAAATAAAAAACTTACCTGAAAAACGTCTCGTATGTCTTACCATATTTTAAAATATTTTGCTTGCGTGAAATCTATACAAGAAAGAAAACAACCGGTCGTTTGCATCTCAGGTTATACCAACACGGGCAAAATAAGTGTAATACACTGTGGATTAACGAAAGATAAGGTTCATATGAACAATACAGGAAGGTTAGATTCAATTTGTTGGAGGTTAAAGGTGTCGGTGAAGTGGTTAATGAATGAATGTATTTGTAAGAGTACAATTTATTTCGCCTTATGTCACGTGCGTAGCGCGTGGTAGCAGCGACAGCTAACTTCTACTCTGCCGTTGAAATATGTCTGACATGTACACATAGCTAGCTTTACTCGCTTTTATATTTGAACGGCATCTCGGACAAGATATACCGCGCTAAGGGAAAACTGCGTTCATAATATTACATCGTATATACATGCACTGAAACCGTGAATCATTTCACCTGTATATGGACTATAGTATAGAAATGTCTGATAATCGAGTTTTAAAATTCATCATCCAAAAGCCTACATGGGTTCACCTCCCCCCCGGATTTCAATGACATTGTTTCAGCATCGAGACGAAATGCGGAATTGAAGTGAAAACACAGGGACGCTTCCGTTTGAGACAGTAATTTCACACAACTGCCTCGCACGCAGTGTATCGTTTTGACGCTTTATACATGCACTCGAGCATTCAATTTTCAATATATCGCTTCTACACATTCGGTCAGTTGAAGATTGTCGTGTGCGAGTGCTGCAAAAGGCGATACAAGTTTGTGGACGCAGCGAGGATCGTGGACAAGGTTCGGAAATGCTTGCGTGAGCAGGTGAAGAGCACGCATTCCTGGTTGGCACAAAGACGGCTTTTGCTCGAATATTTTTGAGAGTAAAGTCCTGGTAAGGAAGTCGGAAAATAACTCTTTTCTCGGTAAAACCCTATTATGACGGCACGGTTTTCTAAGCTACAAAAACAACAAAGTCGCTTGCACGCCAATATTCGCGTTTCGAACATTGAAATAACAACATCAAATCGATTCTTCTCAAAAAATCTCAAAGTCAAACTCGACATCAACAGAAATATACTCGCCCAGAAGCGACCCTTAGAGAAAGGACGATCCCAGTTCAATGGAAAAATCTCTCATTCCGGGTTTAAGTCCTCAAGACTTCTTTGAAATATATAAATTTCTGGTGAAGACGGAATTGTTGGAAAGTAAGCCGTCGAACTTCGGAACTCACATCTTGGAAAACCTCATGAGTTGTAAGTATACACATTACTGAGAAGATTTGACAAACTACAGGGAAATTTTCGGCTGTACGTCAAGTCCTGACCTTTAAGGGATCTGCCGTGGTATAGCAGTGTAGAACACGACAGCGGGGTACATTTGATAGTGATTTGTAGGTACACAGCTTAGATATATGGCGCTTTAGTCTCTCCCCCCTATCAATGAAGGGGCGCGATCTGAGCTTGCCCCATGTAAGAAGGGTTCGGAACTGATAGAGCGATCAAGAATAAATGAAGTTAGTTTAGTTTAGGTTTTCTCCTGTAGTAACACTGGATCAATAAGAGATGATCCTTACTAGACCTCTAGGAAGAACAGTTCAGAACTGATAGAGCTATCCAGTATAAATAAAGTTAGTTTAGTTTAGGTTTCCTCCTGTAGTAACATTGGATCAATAAGAGATGATCCTTACTAGACCTTTAGGAAGGACAATTTAGAACTGATAGAGCTATCCAGTATAAATAAAGTTAGTTTAGTTTAGGTTTCCTTCTGTAGTAACACTGGATCAATAAGAGATGATCCTTACTGGACCTCCAGGAAGAACAGTTTAGAAGTGATAGAGCTATCCAGTATAAATAAAGTTAGTTTAGTTTAGGTTTCCTCCTGTAGTAACACTGGATTAATAAGAGATTATCCTTACTGGAACTCTAGGATCGGAAGAACAGTTTAGAACTGATAGAGCTATCCAGTATACAAATCATGGAGTAATGTTTATGAGCCATCTTTACCAGTAATAGGTAATAAGATGATATCAGTCCTATCAGTCCTTATCCAGTATAAGAACCATCTTTTTTGGTCTTGTAAAAAGGTGAACTAAACAAAAAATAGCTGCTAGGTTTAAAACTGATCTTCCAAGAGGTCCAGTAAGAATGATCTAATCAAGTTTTCTTTCTAATTTCACCAGTTTTAGATAAAGACAATGAGTGCGAATTTGAAGATGAAGATGATATGATATTTTATGACCCAAATCAAGACCACTGCGAAAGCATGCTGGTGACCACAACGCCCCAATCTACGGTAGAGTTCATAGATTTAAAAGAAGTTTACGAGAAAGTTCAGAGTCGAGCTGGCGGGGGATCGCATCAACGAGTTTCGTCAGGTGAAATAAACATTCGAGCGATCTCTGATGGACAGTTGTGCGGAATGGATGTATTTGTTGAGAGAATGCCCGAGGCAGCTGCGCTATGCGGAGATATGAATGGAAGAATACCGTTGGAAGTAAACTACGAGGACTATTTTAAAAACCAGGTACGCCTAAGCAGTGAAATGCAGTTTAAATAATTTAGCTTGTAGGTACACCACGTAAGTATTTAATACTGCAAAGCTTTCGGTTTGTTAACTCGGGCCTTCATGAGTGCAAGAAGGCCCAGGTTAACCGGACCGAAAGCTTTGCAGTATTAAATACTTACGTGGTGTACCTACAAGCTAAATTACTTCTCGACTGTCACTATACAAACATACAAGAATATTATTCAAATGCAGTTTGCTCGCGGGAAAAGCTCATTGGACATTAGTCAAGATGATATTTTTTACAACAAGTCTGCAGCAAGTTTTGTTAAGAGGTTTTAAGTAAAAAAGAAACACTACATTTCATCCAGTTTACTGGGTTGGTTAAACAGGTCACTCTACACATAATTACGTTTGCCTTAGGCTCAAATACTGCAGCTAGTATATACTTTGTAAGATAAACCAAAACTAATTTCAACATTCTACCATTCTATAGCAACTGTTTTCCGTGGACTTAGACTCTGTTTACAATACTCCTGATGGCACTCCAGTGTATAAACTAGCCACTGTTGACGCTGAAAGAAGAAATCTTTTTAACTTGATTGTTTTTCTAAAATTTATCGATGGGACAGAAAGTGGACCTTTCATGAGTAAACCCTTCTTGTTACGAAGTAGAAAACCCGGAAGTCGAAAAGATTCATCGGGGATGAGCTAGAAAAGAACGGCATATAACCATGCACAGTTGATGTCAAAGAATTGACAGATGTAAACACTGTTTAAGGTGGATTTAACCAGGCAATGGAGTTCATTTTTATTCCGTACCATCCACATCAAAGATAAAACCTTTTTGGCTTTAGTAGTGCAGCGTCCATGCATGATGTATTACTGATATGGTAGAGCTAGAGTTTGGTAACCAATTCCATTAAGAGATCTCCATGTTTTTGAAAGATGAGCACGATACATTTTCATACTCGATGCCAAGGAGTATAATGTTCAACAGAGAATGTTGACCGAGGGGCTATCTTTATAACTAAGAACGTACCCAAGCATATATAGACTTTTTAAATGTAATATAAAGTTTTGTTCATTTGAAGATCTTCAGTTTATCCTGGTTGAATAATGAATTGTTCATTTTGGATTAAAAACTGAAGTACCAAGAGACAAAAACAAATGTACATATAATTTAATCAAATTTTTGCGAAAATCATAAATTATAAATAAATGATTGTTTTATACTCACATCATTGTCTACAATTCTGGCAAACTTTCTCTATGCGCACGTTAATATATGTTATTTAAGGCATTTGTTATGACAAGCCTACCACATTTTGATGACAACTAAGTTATTTTGAGCCTACCACATTTTGATGACAACTAAGTTATTTTGAAACATATATATCTGGATGACTGGATCCCAGAATATTGAAATGTTCTATTAAAGGCATGTTTGTGATCGTTTATTTTTGCTGCAGAAATGCTGAAAAACAAGCCTCCTGCAAGGTCTAATTTGGAAATCAATATTTTTATCATCCGAGCATTGCATGTGGTATTGTTTTTCAGTCGAGTTGAAATTATTTTAGGCAATTCGAGGTCGTGCTGTGAAAAAGCTTAAAATATCCACAACGCCTCCGTAATGCAGGTTTGCCGAGTTGAGCAGATTTTTTACATCGGAAAGTATAACTTACGAAATATTAAAAAATTGTCGCTTGGCTTAAAAAACGTGAGTACAACACGTGTGAAATATTGCTACACGCGTGTGATCTCACGGTAAACGAAAGAACAATGGTGAGTATACCCTAGTACATGTAAACTGTTATATAGCATCAAATGTGGTATAACAACCACCTAAAATAGACAAAACACTTCTCGACGTTTCGACCTGAGGGCCTTCGTCAGGAGAGTTAGTACTAACTATCCTACTACTTCATACTAACTCTCCTGACGAAGGCCCTCAGGTCGAAACGTTGAGAAGTGTTTTGTCTATTTTAGGCAGTTGTTATACCACATTTGATGCTAAATTGTTTGAAGACGCTGCCACGCTGCTCCTGGTTATTATGTGCACTGTTCGTCTGTTACAGTTCAAGGATCAATTACACCCATTTAAGAGAACGGCGTGAAATTTGCAGAGTTTGACGAGCTTTAAAGATGGTTTACAAGCCTCAATTGTGTACACAGAGTGTCTTCAGAATAATCGATTTCAAATTCAGCGCGCTATTGTGCGTGTACTGTTGTAAGAAAACGTTTTAAAGATAGTCGATTTTTAACGTTTTATACCGATTCGGAAAATTGAAAATTAATGTGATATTCACGAGGATTTTTGATCGAAATTTCATTCACCATGGGTCAACTCTACTCTAAGGCTCATATCTCTTAATGCTTTATCACGCGTGCGTTTATCTAAGTTAAGAGTGTATATCTAAACACACGCATGCTTTCGATGACATAATGGTCTATTTAGAGGCGATGATCGTTAAAGAAAAACAACAAGAGAGCTACTTAGCAAGCACAATGAAATTAAAGATAGATGAATGATAAACGACACCCCCTATCGGAAACGTTTATAAAACCTCGCGAGAATTTATTGGCCTCCTCCGAGAATAAAGCCACCTAACCTGACACAAGTTCAATTGTCCAAACCACAAGAAGTTGATAAAAAACCACAATATATATTTTTATTCCACTATTTTCTAACAAATACTCCCGCAACCGCGTTTTAATATTTACAAAATTAGACAGCTTTTATGTACTATATAATATTAAATTCTCTAAGCCAGATGCATGACTAATATTTCAAGACACAAAAGCCTTGCGACAAGGCGACTTGATTGCAGCACTTTGAACAGAAGGAGGGGCTAGCAAGCCCACGCAATGCATATATTATTTTCTGAAACAATGTTTTTTGTCCAGCTTGTAAAAACATTCTATCACTATATCAACAGTTGCGTCTTGTAAAGTGCTGATTCGCAAGTCTGTCTCGACAAACGCGAAGGTCCAGCCTTTGTTTGTCTCCGAGCCGTGCAAGTTCAAACTCGGTTAATTCAAGAACAGGGCCAGCCTGATGATATCAAGAGTTTAAACTGTGCTTATCGCTCTTGAAATGTTAGAGATCCATCGGAAATCGGTTATAAAACAGCTAAGTCTAATCCCCGCTAGTCACAACATACACCGACCATACCCGGGCCCCACAATCTTTAAAGACACCACAAATGACAAATGATATAGATTTGAAATCGTTGAACTTGACTGCGTTAGTTTTCATGAGCTCGATCAAGGCCTCCTGATCTGCTGTTATTCAAAGAGTCGCCCACAGCTCTCAAGGCAGACCCAATATCGCTGAATGTGCCTCGCTGTTCGTTTGTCAGACCGTTTTGGCTTCGCATGTTCGCGGCGTTTTGACGAGCTTCGCGATTTCTCGCTTGTCTTTCTTTGCTTTCTGTTCGTCTGAGACTACGTCTTCTGCTGTTGTTTCGTTTGAGTGAGATTCCCATTTGTACGATTGTAAATGCAATGTTTTCTGCAATAAATTGAATTAACATATTGAAACGATTTTGCATATAGCAGTGACTCAGAATATACTATACACAAAGGTGTAATCGGATATACGAGTTAAGTAAAGGTTGAACTAAGACTACAATCACATATATATGTACTATTGTTGTGTAGTGGATTTCATAAGTTAACCCTGTTATCTATAGTTCGGTGTGTATTGTTTTTGCCAGTTGCTTAAAGATATATTCGACTCACTTATTTTATAGCCCGGAGCCATATAAAGACTACCCAAATATTACAAAGTCAAAGAAGGCTTTCATGTTTCAACTTTTGAGCAATAAGCCCGCAATGACCCAGACGTCGAAGGTTTCTTTGTGAATCGTTGGATAGTCTTAAGTCTCCCACTTCTAGCTGCATGGACAGCCATATTCGACTAGAATTATCTTGTATTTTAAGCGATGCCGATGTATATGAAGTATTAAGTATTCTCTTAACAGCATTCATCTAAGACGACTAATTTCTCGAATAAATCATATCTCTCATAGTTGTTCTAGCCATGCAGCATTATAAGACTATACAAGTTAAATTCATAAACTATAGCTTTCGTACGCTTGAACGTTGTATAGGCCGAAGATATTGTAAGAATAAGTGTCAGTGTCAAACAAATTCATGTTGCACGTATATATAGCTGTACGTATATACAAATCATCTCCTAGTCCTAGAGTTTCTGACAAAATATTGAAAATGTCTTAATGTCTACTTCTAGCAAAACAAGATACAATTTATGATGATGAAATTATTTAAAATGATAATAATAATCGGTGAATTCAAAGCGAAATATTATTGCACTGTTTTATTCCTCCTAAAATCCACAAGCAATATTTATACTTTAAAGCGCTGAGTTCCCAATAGCCATGCACAGACGATGAGACAACGTTCGCTCAAGTTGATAACAAATCTGAAAACCAAGCAAGCCCTACAACCGCTAAAACCTCAGCTATACTGACAATTTAAACACCGTGAAATATAAATATTCTTTGTTTGTCTGAAAGCATCTATCAAAGGTCTGTAATTATTTCGGTAACACCGAGCATAACACCTTCAAAGCATTTGGCAGAAATCTGAGAATATCGACTACAGTACATGATTATAACTGGAAATGTTGAAGGATACTAACCAAGAGTTTTTCAACGACGAGTGCGTCCCTTTGAAATATTCTTCGTGGCAAATAAATAGATGTACTTTTCACTTTGGTTAATTATAATTGAGTGTCTATAACAGCTCTCGGTTATCAAAGCTGCATGTGTCGATGTTTATCGCTCGTTGCCGGGTTTTATATAGAGTAGGTTGGCTATAGTCTTAAAATAACCCGACTCCATTAGCGCATGCGCGTGGGGAATCACCCGAAAGGATGGTACTATTAAATTACCCCCTAATTTGAGTCATATATTTTTCCTAAGAGCTTGCTCAACACAAAAAATACAGGTAATGCTAAATAATATAAAAATTTTCACCGAATGTTTTGATGCTAGCCCGGGCAGGTCACGTATGGACTAGAAGTTTGTCACAAAAGCTAAATCCGGTCTGCCCTCTTCACATCAAATGACACCGTATAAGGCTTGGAGGACCTTTCAAATTTTAGCTAAAGCAACGTTTAGAACAGCCTGTATATACATAAGGTTTGCATATTCATATCCGAGAGTAGGCGGTAGAAATATCTGAGCACATAGACGATAGATCAGTTTTATTACAGCGGAATTTTTCGATGAACTAGTCTGTCACATATATAAGTGTGATTGGCTGGGACAAAACATTGGTAAAACCTTGTATTTTTTATGCGTGTATGTACATAAAATCTTTATGATTTGAAAAACCGGAACGTTTCAACAATGCTATATATATATATATACTGAATGTTAATTCCATGCAAAAGTGATGAGATGAGATGTGACCCAATATTGAGTTTTACTTTTGGTTTTTTCTGAAACGGATTTTTTTCCCGTTACAGATATCAGAATATATTATCTGTTTATATCATTTGCAAAAATAAACAAAGAGTTTTCAAGGTGATTAAAAATCACCTTCAGTACGAGCAGCATTTTTTAAATTGTCTTTATGTTTTTTTAAATAATTTAAAAGGGCTTAGCTTTTAGTAGCAAAATGAAAGGAACAAGTTTGTTCATGAAGACATAATGAGAATTTTGCACTTTGAAACGAAAACAAATCCTCAAAACATCTGAGAAATATTTGATAAAATACTCGAGTAAACGGAAGTTGCATTTGCTGAAAAAAATGATACTTTGTGGACATTTTAATCATGGCATGACTTTGAATGTTTTAAAGGATTTGATGTGTGTGTATATTTTGTTTAAACGTGGATTTCATATCTTAATAAAAATCAGGTAAACGATGAGACTATAGGACATTTATAATCAATGATGCAACTTGGGAATATGAAGTCATTGATTTCCAACATCTTGCTTGCGTAATGATTTTAATCGTATAATTATTTTTCACGTGAAGAATCAATTGAATTGAGTAAAATTGAAAGTTTGCTGAAAGATGAAAGAAAAAAATACCCCAAAGCGATGTCG